CTATAAAAGCAAAACTGGTCATCATCAGGAGCATGAAATGACCTACTTTTTATTGTTAATTTGAAAAGAATGGATGGAAATGTAAGGCAAAAGTGCCTTACGAGTTTCTGTCAACTTCATCAAACAGTGATTATTTGTTCATGCATGACTACTGATTCTGTTGGTTTAATGTATCTCAAAGTTATCTTCGTAAACAAAAGGATATATTTTCTGAGCTGTGACACACTATCGCAAAGATTATGTATGCGTAGAAGCTGCTACTTGAAGCAATTTTCACCTTAACGATGATAGTAAGCTCCCATTTCTCAGTATAAGGATTTTTGTTATCTACGATGCTTTACGTACGATTTATGAACAAGTAAGTAGGTTTACTAGATAGTTGTTTTGATCAACGCTGCTGTTGGCGGATTGAAAGAATTTCTGTATGAATCTATTTCCTGCAGCCGTGAAACGTAGATTACGTAATACGTCCGAAAAGATGTGTATATGCCAGCGGACTGGTTGAAAATATCTGATACGATTCAAGTCAGTATTTATTGCGTTGTTGGAGAAATTTCTGAAATGCTTTGAGGAATCCTGGGGATCGGTACGGTACTTTCTGAAAGCAACACAACTAAAAGCTTTGAAAAGATATAGAACACATTTGAAGATCTCTCTCTAAAACCGTCACGTCTAGACGTTTGTTAAAAACACGGAGGTCTCTATTTCAGGAAGCAGTTCATATCTGATTTGTTTTCAATAATTCTTATATCTCCTATATCTTCCCCACGACTACTTAATGGAGTTTTCGGCAGATATCCTGAACAACATTTTATCCGAAATCCAGCTTGATTGTATGTGAAAATGAAGAGAAAACGGGAAAAGTTGAGAGTATGATTATTCATGTAACTGATGTTAGTTCTTTCTAACTAAGTGTCAGAATACATTGAACTTACGTTTTTTTTTGACATAGTATCTTACTATACCCCAAATCGTCCATCTCGAATGTAAAGTATACTCCAATCGAACTAGAAGCACGTTGAGAAATCAATGGATCAGAAGAAATAATGAAGATCTTCAGCATTTTCGTGTTGCTTCAGTCTATGAAGAAAATTTACAGTTCTAACTTACATTGAATTGCCCTTAATGGGCTTATAAAATTTTCTCCAGTTGAAACATAATACTCCATTCCTCGTATAATATCTTCACTTCTAAAAATTTCATGACCGTTTGTGTCAAAAAGACGTCTAAATCGGATAGGATTCTGAAATTTTGTTGTAGCCGATGTGAAGATCTGAAAGTATCACGAAAGAATCCTTACAAATCTCCAGAGTACAAGAAATAGATTTCACGAAACAGAAAATGGCACTTACAGTTTCCATTGAACATGACATACACCAAACACATCGTGAACTATCGCCATTACGATAGACTTTAATATGAAAATTTTTTGTACGAGGTATTTGTTGATAGACTGTAGTACCAGCAGTACTAGAATGACAGAGATAAGAAGAGAAATGCTGAGTTTTTTTGAAGTTATGTGTCTTGTCTTTTACGAAAGTTTCAACCATTTTTCACGAGATTTGAACGATCGATCGAAACGTGTATCTTCCTCATTTGTAAAACAAAACTTGACTTTTCGAACAAAGAAATTTTCGTATCTTGATGGTTTCAGTGTCGAAAACAGGAGGGGATATTGTCAGACGTTCAGAGTAATCGATGACTTGGGTCATGCTTGGTAGATTTTTAAGTTTCAGTATGTAGACATGGATTAAAAATTATATTTACTATGAATAGTCGTTGTCAAAAATGTCTTGACACTATTTGTTCTTGTTACTTTTCTACATTCTATTCACGTATTCCCCTCTAAAGTTTTAGATAGGGCCGTAGGATATTCTTTCAAATATTCATCTCATGTTTAAATAGTGCGCATCAAGTGGTTTGCTTTAAATACAAAAAACATACATACACAAACACAATCATCAATATCCACAACGTTCCAACTGGATAAAATTTGCCAAAAAAGAATGGCCTTCGAAAGCACAAAGAGCAGTTTCACTCATAGTGCCCTCATCATATTTTCGAGTGAAGCCTAGTGGCATATAAAGCATCAAAAGCTTTTTACTCTGCTAACTACGCTCTAAGTGGTCTAAAGATTTTTGACAGATTCATCACCGTCACTCTAGAAAAGCTTTAATATGAATTGATAAGTTTCATCAAAAACATTATAAAAGGTTTAGATACCCCATAGGTCATAACTGATACTGAGCGGAAAGACACAGATACCAGTAATTGACTGAATGATGTTTGAGAAGATATGCAAAGTCACCACTCACTCAAAAAACTCAAAGAAGCTTGCTTTTGAGAGATCTAGCTGGTGTCTGGATCTCTCCATAGTTAACATTGTAAGAGTCTACTTCGTAGTCATACACAGTGCGATTAATTATATCATCTGTAAGAGTGAAACACGGGTTATCTGAATATATATGAGGTTCCATATACCGGTTCCGAACTAAGGAAGGGAAAACATTTGCAATAAAAAAACATCGACTATTATCTTGTCGATCTGGCAATAATTCAAAGCGTAATGACTGCTTGGAATGGACTCGGTACATACATTCATGTATGGCCTTCACAATCAGCTAAAAATGCTTTGAAAGAGGAATATTTTTGTACAATGATGTGCAGGTCTGTAAAGACTCTACCATGATACTTGAATGGAATCTATGTATCACGAACAACTCGAGTTATGATCGAAAACTGAGATCCAAACTGCTTTTCTAGAGTACCCGAAGAAAATACTAGTCTAGCCTTGAAAAGTCATTCAACATAACAGTATTTGGATTGTAAATTACTCCAAATAGCCTTTCTTATAGGACGATGCTTCTTTTGACAGAAAATTACAGGTGGTCCGAAATAGTCATTTATGAGCTCTCAGTCGTTCAAATTACTATCATTTGTTACGAACTGAACGAAGAAAAGTTCTTGATATCAAGATTATTTTAATAATAACTCGAAGTGAGGATATTTTTTTGACTAAAGTCTTACTATAGGTCCAGTGACAGTCGTTCAGAAAAGAATTTTACTTTAGGAAAAGTTATCTGACTTTAGAAACTCAAAAGCAGCAGAGTACTAGAACCCCACTTCCA